ATATTTTCTTCTTCTAGCGGGGCTATAACAGGCTTCTATTTAGTGTCTATGTAATGTGGCCATTATGCTTCACCACAACCCAGGGCTGAATCGTTTGAAGATTCCTTTCTAAAGCTTGGGCTGTAATTTAACCATCCTAAGAGGTGGAGCTTTAAGATGGCCTAAGCAGGCCTTTATTAATGAAGAAGGGGGAGGTTAGCTCCTGAAGGGCCGACTGGGTTTCTCTAGGAAGAATGCCTTGTCCAATTTCCCTGCCCCCCCCTCCAGCCCCCATTCTCACTTGTTCTGATGTGGTGGTGCAGCCTAGCAGAAAGGCCCTCACCAGGCACCAGTGGACTCCACCCTCCAGGATCCTGAGGATGTGCATTTGGAGAATTAAGTTGTTGCCAAGAAGTAGGACTGTTGTTACAAATCCCCGAGGGTAGCATGAGTGTGCTACCAAAATGCTTGCCTTGCTGTGTACAGAGCCTTGAATGATTGAGGTGCAGGGTCAGGAGAAAGCTGTTGACTCCTTAAGTGCTAGGATTGGAATATTGGCAGAAATAGAGACAGAAAAGGCCATGCCATTGAACTCTTGAGACAAAAATGAGGAACACGGTATTGGGAGATTGAAGTGTAAAAGTCACCCTTGTTAGATTGTTGTGAAGAATTGGGCAGAACCGCGTGGAACAAGAAAGGAAGGAGGAGGCGGCTATCTGGTACATAACATTTCCTGACAACAGAGCATTAGGCAGCCGTGAGAGGACAGCTAACTATAATTACAGTGAGGCAGGGTAGTGGATCACACCCGGTCATGTACACAGTAAGAGAGTGTGCTGGGGAGAGAGTCCTAAATGTGTCAAGAGACCCTTTGCTAAAGAGTTTTAGCAATGAAGAGGCCAGATGCTGCTCTTTGTAGTAGGTAAAGACTGAGGGCATGTGGGCCTGTGGCAGCTCTGACTGAAGTGGCCTCTGTGATCTAGTAGGCCCACCACTCTAGAAGAAGCAAGTGGGGAAGCATTTGCTGTTTCCAACTGGTATTAAATCTTCAAGCCCCCAAGAACACAATAACTGCAGGAGCATGACTTCCACCAGGGCAGCACCCACTCGAAATGGGAATCAGAACCTACGGTGCATGGATAGGTGCGTTCATGCAAGCGTGTGTGCTCAAGCACATGTGTAGAACTGTTATAGTCAGAATCCTCTAAGATCCCAAGACTATGAGAGTACCAGCATGTCATGAGCCTGGGACAGCTACAGGCTTGGGACTCGCACCTACCAACGGAAGTCTGCCCAGAGTCAAACAAACCGTAGGGGTGGGGACTGCCCAGACTCTCCATTGTGTCCATTCTGGAGCTAAATGGTCTAATTTTTTCTACTAGCTTTTTGACTTAGATAGGACAAGTTTCTTCTTTGTTCTTTGTCTTTTGAAATGAGAATGTCTATCTTATTGTTAAAGACTAGAGTCTTAAGAGATGATTAGAAGCTACAGGGTTCTGTCCTCAGGAATGGATTGATGCTTTTATTTTAGAAATGGATAAGTTAGCACAGCAGTGATTAAAAAAACAAAAATGAGTTTGCCCAATACCCTCTTGGTTTTCTGCAAGAAGAGCCCTCACCACAAGTGGGTGCCTCTAAGACTGTGAGCCAATGCACTGGTGTTATTTCCATTCGCCCAGTCTGTGATATGTGTTATAGCAGCACACCACACACTAAAAAACATGGATTAACCAGTAGTCAGTTAAAGAAGTTGAGCTCTTAAATGATTGGGCAGGAGTGACTGAGAGCAATTAAAATTGTTAGTGGTGAATATTAATTTAGTCATGATGCACTTCTTGGCCATAGAAGCAGCTTCAGCCAACACCAAATAAATCCTCATCCTCTGAAGACATTTGTGTAATGAAGAAAAAAATAAAATTTCTTTAGAAACAATAATTGTATACTATACACTAAGCAGAGCGATGGAAAGAGCAAGAGATTTTATATAATTACATCACTACATCACTTGGTGTAAAGGGAAGTAGTTGTTCAGAAAACAGGTTTGTCTTTGGATGGGCATATCATCTAATGGCTTGCTTGTTGTTACCTGGTTAGTGCTTTGGACTATTTCATAGTGTAACACTGTGGGGTCTTTTGAGTTTTTTTCTATATTCAGTAAAACACAGCTGTTTTACTAAAAGTTAGATTGTCGAACCTTTGGGTATGACCTTGTAGCTCAATTCATTGTCTTTTTGACCAGTTTTGCAGTAGCAGGTAAAGTCTTCCATAAACTCAAGACAACCTGAGTTTAAAGATTTCTGACCAATCTTCTGCCCTCTGAGCCAGCACATGAGGACCCGAGTCACTCAGCCTGCTTCTGCCCTCCTCCAGCAGTGTAGTCACAGAGGTGGAAATAAGGGAACCAAGATACAGTGTGAGGCCTAAAAGACTGAGCCTTAGTTGATGTGGAATACTTCTGAGACAGACATGTTTGTACATTGTCCTTTGAATTCCATAGGACATTTTGTGTAAGTTATCTTTGAGACAGCAGTTGCCATATGAATGTCTTCCTTGTATATGTTTCTGTTACTCAGGGTTTTGTTGTTGTTTGTTTTTGTTCTTTCCAGTTTTTTTCTGAATGTGTGGGCTGCATTACAGGGGTGGGTTGGGTACTAGTATTTAAAAAAAAAAACAGAAAACAAAACTTGTTACTCACTGTATTCATTTGAATTAGTAAACAGTGTTCTGGGAACCAAGGAATTTTAAAATATTTAAAATAATGGAGATGTTAAGACATTTGGATTTTCAGGTTTTATTACCAGGGATCTGGGATTTGGAAATAACCTTGTTCTTAGGAATAAACTTGTAAGGATTCTCAGTGAAGAACTTGTGTAACCTGGCGTGGAAACCCGGTTACTAGAAACCACCAGCTGCACAGTGACGGTCACACAGCTCTCTGATGTCATGCCACCTCCAAATATTAATGCTGAAATTTTGATGGTTTCATTTACAATTTTAGATGTTACCATTCATAAAACAACTTCTAGAGTCTATAGCATCAAAATTCAGAAAACACTGTTCTTCTTCATTCATGTAAAATATTCATGTAAAATATTTGCTAACAGTAGCACTCTGAAGATGGTTTGTAAGGGTCATTATAGTGCATTCTGTTTGAATTCTACAGTAATCTGTTTGCATTCTACAAGGATTTTTTTTAATATAGTGTCAAGTTGGACAACCAGCAAGCTCTTCAAAGAAAGATTGTAACTAATGCTGAACCTTGCTGTGTCCTACATCACAGAGGCAGACATTGCACCTCTCACAGGTGGAAGGAGTGAGTAACTGACAGCTAGTAGTTCTCTGGACTCTATTTCCAGAGTGTAGATCACTTAAAAGTCAGTTAATTCTAGGTTGCTTATTGCATCAGCAATGGAAAAGAAGTATATGGTGTTTGATTCATTCAAAGTAATTATGATGAAGAACCTAGTTTCTCCATTTAAGTTAGACTGCCCTGTAACATTTCCCAAAGACTCTAAGCAAATGGTGCAGTGGTATTAGAAAGAAATGTTACCCATATTGCATTGCGGTAGAACAGATTTCCATTCACACATCATCTGAATGCCAAATGCTTAAATTATGAGGTTTTGCTTAATTTTTACAGCAGAAACATTTGTTGAGTCCCTGCTGTGTACCAGGCTCTTGACTGAAATAACTAATGAGAACCTGAAAAGCATTTTCTGGAGCTGGGTTATTCAGCTTTGAAGTAGCCATTCTTCAATGCCTGACTTCTAACAGTTCTTTGCTTATTGGTCTATTATTTAATAATAAGTAGGAAAAAAAAAGTTAGGGTTCAAATAGACAAGTAACAACAAAAAGCTGGAAATAGTGACTGCGCTTTTAGGTCCCCAGTTTTTAGTTTGCTGTGTGCATTTCTGTGGCCTTGCCACTTGATGGCTGTGAGGAGCTGTGGCCTCTGGTTCTGTTGGAACAGAGTTCCAATTCTCATGGAACAGCCCACTTCACGGGCGGCATGCCCTGTTGTCTTACTTAGAATTTTGTGGATGATAGAAGAGAGGTAGTCGTTTGAGTGGTTCTTCTGTGAGGTTTGGATCCCTCAGCCTAGATACCTAGAGATGAACTCTTCCTCTTCCTGCTGCTTGGCAAGCAGCACCTGCACTTGCCATCCCTTTGTGCAGAGGAGCGCCGTAGCTCTGTCCAAGGACTGGAGAGCATTGTCCTCTCTGGTTCAACTAATGAAAATCTTTGCTTTCATCAACTCATCATGTATTTGGAGTAAATCATTAAAGGGAAAAGTTAAGTAATGGAAAAGTGTCAAAACCAATACTAAAATATTTGGTCTACCCTTTAAAAAAGTATTTCTTTTTAAATCACATTTTTAAACTACTTGAGAAAATGTAGAATGAAAAACTGTGAAGAGTAGTTGGCATCGAACACTGGGTCCAGTTGTGAACTTAAATGATACAGATTTATAGTTTTCTAATAAAACTCACATGTTTCAATGATTGTGCCTGTAATATAGGTTGAGTTTAAAAATGAAAACTGAGCTGTTTGCTGCTGAATTTCAGTGGAAATTGGCTTTTCACTGAGCTTTGTCTTGCATTGTTGATATTCCATTGCTTGGTTTGCTGGGCTTATTTAATGGAGTAGTAGTCAAATGCAAATTTAATTTAGTAGCACTAAAAAGTTGTGATTTTCCTGGAAATAAGATGTTTAAAATTAGGTGTGATTAAAAGTAAAGATTCCCATTGTTGTCATTATTGACCAACCCAGCTCCTGGTGTTTTAGCCACATTTTCTCCATTCTGCATGAGTGGAGACCCTTATTTGAAAAAGGCAGCACAGAGTGCATGTGCAGATCAGAGCTGCTGTAGGAGTGAGTCACTGGGAGTTGGTGCATGCCCTGTAAACCGGGAACTGGACACACACTTCTCTAATGAGATGGTGTGTAGATGGTGTGACCTCTTTTGTGTAGGTATGCTTTATATATATGAGGAATGTTAAGTCTTTCTCTTCCTTTTTTAGCCTTAGATTGTAAGCAAAAGAAATCAAGGTCAAGATCTGGAAGCAAGAAGAAAATGTTAACATTACCTCATGGTGCTGACGAGGTTTACATTCTCCGATGCAGGTATATGCTTCTGTTGCCAAACGTCATCCCTTTCTTCGCTTTCCTTTGAGACACAGTAGCTATTTTAGTTGGCATTTTTAGTTTGTGGCATGCTCAACAATAAAGCTATAAATGATTTTGCAGAGACAGTTTATTTAGACTCTTAATTCATTGTATACTTAAGTTTGCCTCAACAGCTAGTAAGATTGGGTTTGTATATCAGCCAAATACCTGTATTCCACTGTAATTTATAGAAGTGGTTAATTAATTGCTGTGCTTTATATTCTTGATAGATTTAGTTTGCATTGTTTCTGCTGTCCATTGAGATCACATTTTCTTTCACTGCATAACTCTCCTCCCTCCATGTACCCTCACAGACCCGTGCATAGACACAGTGTACTTCTGAATTGGAGAAGACTCTTTTGAGAGATACACACTTTGGAACAATTCCTGTGCATGAATTTAGATGTTATAAAAGTTAGAAAAGTGGGGCAGGAGAACACGGCCTACTCTTCAGAGGACCCATGCCTGCTTGATTCCCATCCCCCGTTTGGTGGCCTGCAACTTCCAGTCTCAGGTTCCTAAGACCCCAGGCACATGCACATGGTGCACAGACGTGGAGGCAGGGCAAGATGCCCATGCACATTGATTTTTCTTTTTCTTTTTATTTTTTTACAGAATTCTGTTTAGTTAATTTTAACTCAAATGATATTATAACCACTACAAAATAAATCTGTTAATAAAGGTGTAAATTGATCCAACTTAATTTAAACCAGCGCTTTTCAACCTTCTCAATTCTACGACCCTTTAACACAGTTCCTCATGTTGTGGTGCCCCGGTGCCCCATCCCACCAAAAAAACCAAACAATTATTTTCATGGTTACTTCATAACTGTAACTTTGCTACTGTTAAGAATTGTAATGTAAATATCTGATATGCAGGGTGGACTTGGGTGACCCCTGTGAGAGGGTTGTCTGAGCCTCAAGGGGCTGTGGCCCACAGGCTGAGAACCATCAATTTGTTAGCCAAGTGCTCTGTGTATTGTATGGTGAGATTTGTTTCTTACATTATGGGCTTTTGATGAAGAAGTTTTAAATAGTATTACCTTAAGAGAACTACTATTATCTGCTTCTCTTACAGGTTTTGTGGCCTAGTCTTTCGGGGACCATTGTCTGTTCAGGAAGACTGGATTAAGCACTTACAGCGGCACATTGTAAACGCTAATCTTCCACGGACTGGAGCTGGCATGGTGGAAGTGACATCACTACTTAAAAAGCCTGCCTCTATTACGGAAACTTCCTTTTCTTTACTAATGGCAGAAGCAGCCTCATAGGACCAGGAATCCTTTTAAACAGCAGATTTAATTGGATGTAAATTTAAAATTCTTGTCATTTTTTTTTTTTTTTTTTTTTTTTTTTTTTTTTTTTTTTGTAAGCCATGTCCATTTATAAATACTAAAGTAGGAAAAATGGGGGAGCGTGGATTAAGTGGCATCTGAGCAAACTGAACACTTAATGACAGTAAGTAGTCTATATATTTTATATAGGACAGAGATGTGTTTTCAAGGTTTGCTGAATTTTGTTGGCTGAGTTTACTCAATTAAAGGTCTTACATCTGAGAGCCCTCTGTAAGTGTTGCACATGGGTTTACAGACAGACTTGCTGAAAGATTGTGTTCTCTGCAGTGTTACCAGAATCAAGGCTCTGTTTCTTCCCCACACTTACATAGTAAACTAAGATATTATATTTTGTTGGTATGTATTTAGTGTTTTGTATACTTCCAGGAACTGCTAACTAAATTTACTCAACTTAGGGCATTAAATATCATGTACTTCATAGTTTGAGACTGTTCACCCAAATAGGGCAGAGTACTATCTATCTAGATGTATAAGTGTTTTGTTTTGTTTTTTTAATCACATGGAACGGTTTTTTTGTTTTTTTTTATACTAAAAAGTCGGAGGGAGATTTGTTTAAACAAGTATTTCTAAAAGCAATGTGTACATAGTCCTGGGAATTATTTGTGGTAAGGAAGCCTTCTTGACTCGAGTTGCTTTTCTCAGACAATGAAGTGGTGCACCCACGCTACCTCCTACTTTGTCAGCAAAGATGCTATTTACCCTTTCCATTTTTGTATCATAATAGATTTTAAAAATCTAATGTTCTTTATTGCAAGACATACTTTTGTTACCAGATTTGTTTCTTTGTAATGTTTTACGTACAGTTTGACATGCTTACAGGACAGGGTTGTCTCTTTATTTAACATTGTAGAAATGTAATTAATAAACAAGGCTCACTACACAATTTAGAATAGGCTTTTTCTCATTTATATTATCTTCCAAATTTGATCAGTTAGAAAAACTATTAATACACAAACTATTTCTACATATGATGAGAATGTTTACAATTTCAATGCTAGACCTTGTTTTGGATGTGATTATATGTATGAAAATTGTGTAACACTATGCTCATGCTAAGAACCCACATAATGGAATACTGAAATAAATGTGCTGTGAGGAATGGAACGTAATGGTGCAGGTGTCTTGGTCATGATAACTTGTGATGACGCTCTTCAACTCTTTCCAAAATCAGCATCCTTTACAGACGACAGTTTGTGTGCAAGCACCCATTCCACACCATTTCATGTAGTTGCTAATAGAGGTGAACCAAGGATATGCATTGATGCTTTTTTTCATTTGTAAATAAAGAGAAAAAACAGTTAAAGTGAAGGAGTATTTTGGAAGACTATATACATACCTCACTGCCAGTGAAATTACTTTTCCTGTGGTATATCTCCTTACCAGAAATTGCTAAATAAAAAGACTTCAAGAATTATGATGCCTCTAACATGAAGCATTTCTTATTTTTATCATGGGAACTAGTCCATGAAATATTGTTTATAAATACCAAGTTACTTTGGTTTTCTAGAAACACTACATTAGTCAGTATGTTATATGTGAAAAAATAATTTTGCCTGCTATGGTTATTAACCTTTTAATTTGGGGCCGTTTAATGTGTTGAATCACATCACATTCCATTACTTTTGACTGAAAATATCCCAAGCCTGTCTTGATATTGATAACCTCTTACTACAGATGTTTTATTGAATTTCCATAGGTAGATTTCAATCTGTGTATGTCCTATTGTCTGCTTACTTGATGGAGAAAAATCTCACTGGTTTCCCTGGGCTGACTTTGAACTCAGAACCCTCCCATCTCAGCCTCTGGCCTAACTGGGAATACACCAGTGTGGCACTGTTCCTGGCTCAAGATAATTTTTGAAATTGAGCCATAATGCTAACAAAACAAGTAGAATTCAGAAGATTAGGGAGGAAATGACAGGGAAAATGAGAACACTTACAGTTTTTTGAGACTCTTAGATTTATTTATTATTTTAGTCATGGCAGCTGTCAAAATGTAGGAGTGTAGGTAGAATTAGTATAACCCACGTATTTCAGAATTAAACCAAAGACCTTCCCAGGAACAACTTCGGTACCTCATAAGTATAGAATCATGTCATTTGCAAATAAGGATGCGGGATGTTCCTTCTCTTCCGTTAACTCCTATTTATTTATTTATTTATTTATTTACTTTTCATTATTTACTTAAAAAGTCACTGTGTGTGTGTGTGTGTGTGTGTGTGTAGGGCACAGCACACTTGTGGAGAGTGAAAGGGTGCTTGCTGGAGTTCTCCCCTTGCACCATGTGGGTTCAGGGGTCAGGCTCAGGCGGCCTGCCTTGTACCAGGATGAGCATCCTCTGCTGTGCCGTCTTTCCCCCTTCCCCTCACCCCCCCACCTCCTGTGATCTTGTTTCATTGCTCTAGCCACGATTTTGAACATTATATTGAGCAAAAAGATGGGAATGGGCGCATTTGCCTCATTCCTGATTCGAAAGGACATACTTTTAAGTTTTTCAGTATTTGTTTATAATGTTGTTGGGTATGGATTTGTATTAACATCCTTTGTTTGATTCCTTCTATCCTGGTTTACTTATCAGAAAAGAGTCTTGAACTTTGTCCAGTTGTGTGTTCTCTGCCTCAAAGTATATATGTTGTATTCAACATTTATTGGTCTGCATATGTTGTGCCAATCTTGATGCATGTCTGGCATGAATCAGGGTATTTGTTGTCCTTGCTGTGTTCTTAAGTAACATGGTTTGCACGACTCTCATTGAGAATGTCCATACTGTGGTGGCATTCTTGGTGGTCAGCGTGGCACACCTGTGAAACGAGAACGCCAGATGAGGAATTGCCTCCATCAGATTGACCTGTGGGTTTGACTGGGAGACATTTTCTTGATTGCTGATTTATATCCAAGAGCCTGCCCACTGTGGGTGGTATCATCCCGTACAAAGACAGCTGGGGAAGCCAGCTAGGAAGCAGTGTTCCCTCCATGGTTCTGTGTGGTTTCCTTCAGTGATATGGCTGTGGCCTGAGACTTGGAAGATGAAATGAGCCCTCTCCTCCTCCAGCTGCTTTTGGTTATGGTATCAACAAAACCACAAGACCAGAAAGGAAACTATGTTTACCTACGCTCGTTGAGGAAGTTGATTTCTACCCATGCTCACAAGGAGAATTGATTTCCCATTTCTCTTTTTTGTTGGGTCTTTATCTGGCTTTGGTATCAGAACTGCTCGCTTCATAAATGATTTTCGGTGTGTTTTTCCCTTCCTTTTTTGTGGGCTAGTCTGAGAAGTGGGAGGTGGAGTAGTGCTAACTCTTCCTTTAGAGCTCAACCATGCACCATCTGGTATGGACTTTCCTTGGTGGGGAGTTTTAAGTTTTCAGAGTCTTCCCATAGTTTTCCTTCTGTATCTCATTGGCATTTGCTATAAAAGCCCATCCTATCTCTTCATTTAATATTTTGGGTCTATTCTCTCTTCTTAGTTCTGGTAGAGATCTGTTTGTCTTTTCAATAAATGAACTTTGGTTTGATTGATACTGTGTATTATCATTTCCTCTATTAATTTCTGACCTGATCTTTCTTGTTTCTGGCCACCTGCTTCTTTGGGGTTTGACTTGTTCTAATTTTCTGGGACCTTGACTGAACTTCATCCTTAGGTTCCTTTTTAAATGTAAGTATTAAGTTCTAATTTTTTCCTAGAGCTGACCTAGTTGTGGCCTAAAAGTTCTAGCAGAGTTCTAGGGATTTCTAAACAACCTCCCTGATGGCTTCGTTGACCCACTGATGAGTTGGGTGTAGAAAGACCTGGATGGGTTCCCAGCACCACACTGGGTGGCTCACAACCACCCTGAACTGCAGCTGCAGAAGGAATCCCATGTGTCTGGCACTCGTGTCCTGTGTGTATCCACGCACAATGACATACACATATAGACAGAATTTTTTAAATAAAATCTTTTTTAAAGGAATATATTGAGTTTCTCAGGCATTTATGTGGTTTCACTTGCTATTAATTTCTTCTCTATACCACTATGATCTGTTAGGAAATAGAAGTGATTGATTTCTGTCTTTCTTAAGTTGCAGTTCTGTGACCTATAATGAGATCCTGTAGGCACTCCCTGTCTGTAGATCTGTTGGGACCATCTGATCCATTGTGAGCTTTGACCCTGAGGGTTCTTTGTTGACTTTTAGTTTGGACGATCTGCCTAATGATGAACACAGTCACCCACTGTTGTAGTTGGATACTTTTCTCTACCCCACTGGTTCCCCTGGACCGGTTCCTCTTGCTCCTGGCCGCTTATGAAGTAATCACTCAGTGGCTAATAGTAAATAGAATTTGGCCAATGGCTCAGGCTTTATTACTGGCTAGTTCTCTCTCTCTCTCTCTCTCTCTCTCTCTCTCTCTCTCTCTTCTTTCCCTCTTTCTCTCTCCTCTTCCTCCTCTCTGTCTCTCTCCTCTTCTTCCCCTCCCCCAAAGTCTATGGGGTTTGTTACCTCACATGTTGCTTTTCTGGTGGCAGGACCAAGGCAACTTTGAAAGAAAGCATCTAATCAGGGCCCTGCTGACCGTTTTAGTTTTAGATTATCATGGTGGGAAGCAGGCAGGCAGGCATTGTGTTGGAGCATTTTTATATCCTGATCAGGTAGCAGGTGGCAGGATGGGGGGGGCGGGGAGACGGCATATCTGTAGATGAGAGTTGCTGGGAGAAAGCTTCCAGGAAATTGCTAAAGCAGGTGTCTGCATGGGCTGTTCCTGTGTTAGCCAAACACAGAGCCCCAAGTTCACACTACTGTTAGCGTCTCTCCCACTGGGGAGTGCACAGCATGTCCTCTTGTCCTTCCTCCTCTAAAATTAGGCCATTGCAACAGCATCAGAAGTGTTTAAAATGGCTTATGTAAAGGTATCTTTTCATTAAAATCAGGTTTAATTATAATTATGTTTAGTTATAATTGGTTTATGTAATAACACTTTTTGGACACAGTACTTCTGAAAGAGGTGCAGAGTTCGTTTTGGCAAAAATAAAAAGCCTCATTCGTAGCATGTCATAGATGACACACGGAGACTGGCAGATATTTTTAAAAAATGTAAAAAAAAATTTAAAAAGCCAGACAAAATCATAGGGCAAGCCATAAACAAAAGAGAGCCTTAATGTGATTTAAATACCGTGACTGAGATGCAGTCAGCGTCAGCCTGGACTGAGTTGGACACCACATCATCCTCTATGGAAATGTATTCTAGCAAAAGACTACTACGGTCACCATCTGTCCCCCACATCTCACCGACTGGCCTGTCCCCCAGTGAGATGCAGCAAATATGTTTAACATAAGCACATCTTCCTCTCACTACAAAGTGTGTCACCCCAGTGTTGTGAAGACTGTTTCAGGGAACTATTAAGACAACTGGCGCGCACTCGCGAGCACACACACACACACACACACACACACACACACACACACACCCCCACACACCCACACACACACACACACACACGGGGGGGGGGGGGCACTTCTGATAGACCTGTGAACATTCGTTGGTCTTATGTGTGCTTTAAAATTTGTCCTTTAGGGGTAAAATATAGAAGGAAGCTTTATTTAGTGAAACCATTTCAGTCTTTGGTTCCCTGAGAACAGTACCAAGATTGTCGCCATACACCTCAACTGATGTCAGATGTCCTCTACAGTGATGGCTGGAGGACCCGGCCTCTCAGTCCCTGAGATGGAGTCTGCAGGGGCTCCCTTCAGATTACTTTGGAAGTACTGCAGAAGCAGTGGTGTGATTGGCTGCCTGGAAAGTGTTCTGCCTTCAGCTGTGTTCTTGTCTTTTGTCAGACTGCGTAGTATCTTACTGACTGCTGGAAGGAATGAAACCGTATTGTCTATCTATTGCTTAGGAAGCACCCCTAGTCTGCAGATCTCTAGTTAGTCCTAAAAAAGCCCTTTGTAGGTCTGTGGAACTCTTCCTGATAAGATAGGGGCCTTAGAAGTATGTGCACACTGCAGGGGAAAGATTAAACATTTTATTGTATGAGGTTGTATGAAACTGACCCTTTATGGGACTAAAATGAAGCCTTATTTGGGAACTAAGCTGCAATTAATAGAAGCAAAGGAAAATATAAATCATATTTTGCAGCAGACTCAATTGTCATAAGAGGCAAGACAAAACAAAAATGTTTACTGCCATTTACTTTGTATAAATTGTTGATTAGGGAACAACAGCAGTGGGGCTCGTGGCCAAGGAAGTAAACAGAACAGTATCCTGAAGAAGGGATGCTTTGGCACTACAGGCGTAGATAACTTGCCTCATCTACTGTGTGAACAGAATTAACCCAAATAACTGGGGTTGAAAGATAACAAAACTGATGAGGTGAATGGAGATGGCAACAGAGTATCTTCATGCGATACCACTTCTTGGCCATGGGGACCGCTGCCATTG